ACGCCCTGCCATCCAATAAAATCAAAATTTTCTTGATCATCCATGCAAGGAAACCCCACCACTAGTCAGATACAGTTAAGAAACAAAAAATAAACTAAGGCTTTCAGAAACTAAAACACAGGAAATCAAACTATCAATTCAATTTTCTTCATCAGCAAAAATGATGTGTTTGGAAGACAAGAAGTGAAATTGAAATTCCCTCCACCAAGAAGATTAGAAGGTGTACCAGTATTATCATTTCTCACTAACCCATCAATTATCACTGTAACATCCATAACAATAACAATTGGTTAATAACAAATTGAACCCAAGTAATTATCAACAAACAACAATGATAATAGATAAATAATTTTACATCTTTCGTATCTGGACTAGTAATGTTGTTGAATGATTGATGGAAAATAGCAAATGTATGATGATTCATTAAGCATGTGATTTAATGGCATGAAATCAGAATCTATCGTGATGAGTTGAAATGAGTATAAAATGGAACAATATGCATTTAAGGTAGATAGATAAGTGGAAAAAGAGAGAATTGCAGCTGATACTGAGTTCAGTTAACAACTGAGATTGAAGATCCAAAGCACAAACTGAGAATAAATTTGAAAAAACTAGGAAAAGATTTATCATTTCAACTTGAGTTATGGAGCTGCTTGAGCATATGCTGCAGACTCAGACAGAAGGCATGACAAAGAAGTGACCATGATGAATCTTAACGGACAAAGAAAGAAGATAGTCCAGTCAGTCCTTCAAGAATTTCAAATTCCTGGTATTATGCTCAACCAATATTCTTAAGAGATTTTTAAATTTCCTTTGTTCAGTATCCAAACAAACTATTTTATTGTACAGTATTTTATATTATTAGTCTTAAAATTTTACATTAACTCCTAAAATCTTTATCAAAATACACTCCAAGTATGTCCATATATGATTAATCATATCACATGCAAAATTTTTATGCAAATTCAAGGTGGTATCAAAATATAATTGAATAGGTCAGCAGTCACCATGCCAAATTGCCTATATTCGTGAAAAATCAAGTTTATGATCAACTATTCATTAGTCATGGAGTTCCACGTGCTATTGAACCTTAGTAGGGACAAGTATAATCTATATCTCATTGAAACTTGTAAAACAAAAACCCTTAAAAAGGGACTTGATACAATAACAAGAAAGAGTTAAAATCTCTAGTATGTTACTCCACAAGGTTGATCAGTCACCACTAGTACTTTTTTTTTTCAAATCTCAAGCACATAAAAGGTCATCTATTTTGAATTTAATCACATTACCCACCTGCAATTGGGGGCAAGCACCTAATAATGTTTCAAGTGTCTGCAAATGGTACTCATCTGGAAAAACCTGGATTATGCACTCCATAAGGTAAAATTGCGCAAGCTCATCTTTACAGTTGACAACCTGCTCACGCCAATTTAGACAATTGAGACATTATAATATCAAGGCTTACCATAAGAGAAAAATTATATTTTGGGGAGAAAATGTACTTTATTAGACCTGCTCTAAGACATTTGGAAGGACAGTGTCTTTGTACATGTCAAGGTCCACACCCTCTATCTGACTCAGAACGTGTAGATTCTTCCCTACCTAATAATTTGAGAAAAGGAAATCACATAACTTATCAATTAAAATGCCCAACACACCTTTGCATGAGTAGATAGTATCATAAATTTATATTACAAGATCGCGAAGCTCGTTCCTTTCTTTTTCCTTCTTCTCTCGTATCCGGCCGGGTCCCTGCAGACCAGAAAGCCCAATTGAAGGGCTCAGCTCAGGATCGCCAAAGATTAAGCATGATTCACAAGCACCATAACACCTGCATGGCCAGAAATCATGTCCTCATGATTTATTTTTACCTCTATGGCTATGGCATGCAAGTACTGTGGTGCTATGCATCTTGTACAATAAGACTAGAAAAGAGTTTAAGAAGTTCAACTAACCTGATGCTGTAACCGAACCCAAAGCTTATTCATCTCTGTGAAATTCTGTAGAACAAATTCAACTGCATCTATCACACCATTAGATTCCCTGCAGGAAAATAGGCAGCTTTCAATCTACTTTTCGGTGACTTTCAAATTACTATCTACAATTAAATTAAAACAATAGATGAACACAAATGCATGACCAACAAAGTAATGGCCTTACCCTTCTTCATATTCATAACCGATATCAGGCAACTTATCTTTACTGACTTGAGAAAGGTAACTCCTCAAAAACAGACCTCGAATCGGATTTTGAATGCCGCGACACATTTCCACTAGATCTTTAAGAACTTCCCTTACAGGAGCATCCTTGCATCTGAGGTAAACAGATCCTACCGTGCAAAGAAGATACCTAGCAGTAAATTAACACCAAAAATATTGAAATCACACAACACAACCATCCAAATTCAGATTACAAGCACGAGCATTGGCATTTGGTATGCAGCAATAGGAAAAGCAAAAACACTCAATCCGAAAAACACTTACAATCTAGGCAATATATTTCCAGCGTGCTGAACAAGCTCGTATAGGTCAACTATGGAAACGCCGTGTCTGCTTTCGTCTTTGAAGAAAATCTCCAGCCTCTTGAGCTCGTCGAAGGCTCTCATATCTTAAGGAAAACAAATCCAAATAAATAATTGAATTGAGAGGCATAAGTTCAAAGTGCATAGATTATAAGATGAATAAGCGAACGAGAATTTACACAGTTCATAATATTTGTGCGGTGAGAGCCTGGAAGTTCGAAGCTCCGATAACATCTGAGCGGAGAATTTGAGAGCGTCTCTAAGATTGTTTTCGTCCTGCGAGAGGGAATCATGAATTGAAAAGGGGAATTAGGTCACGAAGAGGAGGAAAGTGTGGAGGAAATAGTACCAAGGCGCGATGCATGAAGAATGCGTTGTGCTGAATGCCGGCGATCCCTTCGGCGAGCCATTTCTCTTCGTCCTCGAATCTCTCTGCTATCATTGCTCTTCCAATTGAGTGAGATCGCTGAACCCACGAGGCTGGGGTTTGAATCACAGGTCAAGATGATTGACGCAAATAATATTAAACCGTGATGATTTGATGCAGTTTAAAAATAAGTAATTGGTTTTTCTAACGCCATTGTAACTCGTGTCGTGAGGTGGTTAATAAGAAAAAGCAAATTAACTTTCTCATTTTTTTTAACACATTCATGAAGTTAAAATTTATTAAAAACTCAAAAATCATTCAACTCTTCTGTAGTTTTATAATTTTTAATAAATTTTACTTAACAACCAAGAGTATATTAAAAATTCATTCCTTACACTCCTCTAATAAAAAAATTAAAAATAATAATTTTTTATTAAATATAATTTTAATATTATTGTGTATTTTTAGTATATTATTATATATAAATTTTTGTTATGACATTTTACAAAAATCTGAAATTAATGTGATAGAAGTCTTTTTTTTCTTTTCTAATAGTTATAGAAGTCTTTTGATCCAAGTTTCAAAATAGGTTAACATTATTCCTACTCAAAGAAGAGAAAAATGTTAATAATATATTTTTTTATCATCCTTTTAATAATTAACTAAAATTTATTAAAAATTATAAAAATTATTGGTTCTATTTTTTGTTTTTAATTTAATAATTTTTTTATACTTTCATAGTTTTTAATAAATTTTAGTTAATAATTAAGAATATGCTAAAAAGAATATGTTAAAGAATGAGTTACATAATAATTATCATGATATGATATTAATATCACACAAGCCTTTGATATAAATTTTAAAGTACATTAACCAATGCTTAGCTTAAGCAGTAGCACAAATCAACCCAAAAAAATAAAAATACTAATAACATATTTTTTAATACATTTTTTTAACATCTTTTAATTATTTATTAAAAATTATAAAAAAATTGAGTCATACTTTTTTTTACTCATAATTTAATGATCATATTTTATATTTTTATAATTTTTAATAAAATTTAGTTAATGATTTTATTGTACTCAATCATCATTTGTGAGTCCAAATTAAATATAGACTTTGTTGACTTGACTTATTGATGCTAAATGCTAACAATGAAATAGTACTAATAACTTGAATAATCATTTTGTGAGATCTTTCATATTTATAAACAAATCAAAATTTTACTTAAATTTGTGGTCTTATTCCAAATTAATTATTCTATCTTATTACATGTTTAACTCGTTTAATAAGAAAATATGTGTGAAGTAAAAAAAAATGACTTTATTCCATTAAAGTAAAATTAAAATAATTTGTAAATTTAATCTATTTTTAATTTTTTTTATTTTATGCATAGTACTAATAACTTGAATAATTATTTTGTGAGATCTTTCATATTTATAAAAAAAAAATCAAAATTTTACTTAAATTTGTGTTCTTATTCCAAATTAACTATTCTATCTTATTACATGTTTAACTCGTTTAATAAGAAAATGTGTGAAGTAAAAAAATGACTTTATTCCATTAAAGTAAAATTAAAATAATTTGTAAATTTAATCTATTTTTAATTTATTTTTTTATTTTATGCATCACAATAAAAAGCTAAAACTGAATATTAGATGATGGTTTAAGACTGAATTACTAATTAGTAAGCCAACTGAACTAGTGATGAAGAGTTTGAGATTCAAACCTTATTCCTGCCTTCGTAACAACTAACAAATATAACTAAATTGTTAAAACTATTTATAATTATTTAAATAACATATCCATATGAATTGAGTTGACAAGCAAGTTTAAATATCCAATTCTTCTAATCAAAAGAATCGGTAGTAGACTGTAATTTGAGAAATTCATTGGTAAGGTGAGACCCTATGAAGGACCTAAAGTTTATTACATATTTCATAACTAAGAAACTATTATTAGTGATAAATCATTATTCTATTCACCTCTTTAATTTCCTGAAAATGAGATAGACACGTCCAAGAGTTCTTCACCATTATATAATGCTAAATACATTCACAATAGCTAATATTTATTAAAACCTATAAAAATATAGGAACAAACTATTAATTTAACAGTGCTTAACGCGTGTTGATAACATTTCTCAAACAAAAATTACAGCTTCCTTCCTCCACAACCCAACAGTGAAGTAAAGGATGTAAATGTTTGGCTATATTCTCATATAATAATAATAATAGTAAAACACCTACTTTAATGCTGTTTCATCACTATGTATATACACACTGGACTGGCGTCTGGTATGGAAGAAAAAAATACATCAATCATGTTAATACAAACGAGAATTCAGCAGTCTCAGACAACATTGCATTTGGAGTTTCCCTTCCAAAAAACAATAATGCACTGGTTCTTTCAATTAGCAGAACACATATCCCTACTTTCAACCTGCCTATGTTAAAAAAATTTCCAAAAAGAATCAAAACGGAACCGCGTATGGCAATGCATATACTTCGACCTCAGGCAAGTACTGAGCACGAGGCCACATTGATTTTGAACACTGAAGGATATTGGAATCAAACTTCGCTTTCTTTGAGACGGACCTTGCCTCTGTCGGTTCTGACCTAAATAACCAATCTTGATCTAGTGAGTCGAGTGCATCATACGACAGTGTAGGAATCTGGCATAAAGACTTGTACAAAGATGACACCCCTTGACTTTCATCATCAAGTTTATTATTGGTGACGACAGCATTCGGAGGAACCAAATTCTGCAACAACACCTTGCAATGTCTAGAATTAGGGTTTCCAGTAACCTGATTGATCTCGGTATTTGTGAGACGTTGTAACTGATGACCACTTCCAACTTTATCTTGAGTAAGGGAATTAGCAATTCCAGCACTTCCAGAAGAAGACCCTACTTGATGTTTCAATTTGGATTTGGATTCTTCAGGTTCTTTGTGTTTCCTCAAAGGAAGTCGAATTTTAATGGCAGATCCTGTTTCACAAAAAGTCAAAATTAGATTTTAAACACAGGTCGCCCAAACACAAAAATAAACTGTAAAATAACCAGCTTCTTCACCATGATCGTGACTAGATTCCAAGGTGTCCCTTTTCCTCTTGCTGCTTTGAGTACTGTCAGACAAGCAGCAAGGCTCGAAAGAAGAGACAGGTTGGTCAAGTTCCTCTGTAATACCACTCCTCTCAAGTTGTTCATTCTCGTATTCTTCACCCTTTAGCAAGCTTCCATCTGCTTTGATTTCTTTTATTTTGTTGATGTGCTTGAACTTTTTACCGTCATTGTCGGTATTAAGGCCTGTTCCTTCTTTACGTTTCCTTTTCTCCTCTTTCCTTTTCTCCTTCTTCTCTCTTTTCTTCTCTTTCTTCTCCTTTCTGTCTTTCTTCTCTCTTTTGTCTTTCCTGGCCATCTCAATCTCCTTCTGGAGCTTTAGAGCACCAGAATAACATTTTCAAATAGAGGATAGGGAAGTCCAAAGAAACAAACATGCTATGCAAGCATTTCAATCTTGCTTTGGGGTCCATACAAACATTTAAGCAATCACATCTTTTGGTAGTCAAGAACAATTGTTTCAGCAATTGCAAGCACTATTTCATACCTCTTACAAATCTAAGACAGTAGTAGTCACCATGACACAAATAGTAAAAGAAGCTCACAGCTACTTCATAACAAATATCAATATCGACCAGAACTCATGGATTAGAGCATCGAGTATTCCCAAATCACCCACTAATCAGGATGACTGGGTTTCACATGATCTCGCATCTTAACCACCTAACCTAACCCTAAAATAAAGCAATTTTTATATCAAGATCGCGATCCCTCTTTTCAATTTTAGAAAGTAACATATTTAAGAAGCGAAAAAACATTCCAACTTTTTTTCAAACATCAATTATAATCACACGGGTGAAAAACACCCACCAAAAATTTAGATTATTTGTTATTTGGAAGAACTGCAGACATTACCAAACCCTAAGATCCGAAATTACTTTTTCTCAGCAATTCTTTTTAAAAAAAGACCCAAACAGTTCATCAATTAGAAAGATTTTAGCTCACGAAAAGTACAAATCTTGGTTCTAGGGTTCGATCAAGATATTTAACGAAGACTTAAGGGCGCGTTTGTTCTTATATCAAACTAAGCGTATTCAACAAAAGAAAAGGAACGGGTCGAGAGAGGGCGTCGCAGTTTCATGTACAATTGTATTTTCAAAAACATGCAGTTGAGCGCAAACGCAAAATCGAAACTGCTCAACAAACCTTAATCGGTTCGATCAAGGCCTCGCTGCGTGCCCCATTCCTCATATACCCTGGAGGCGGAAAAGGAAAGCAACGAGACATCTTCGATTATCCGAAGAAAATAAGAAGTGTTCGTTCGCAGTTTCCCTCAAATCGCCAAATCACTCTGCTACGGAAGCAAATCTGAACAAGTGATTGAGATGGCGATAGATCCGATTACAAGAAACAAGAGATCCGATTACAAGAAAGAAGAAAACGTCGGTAATGTTAGAGTCTCCTCTGGCGGCTATGGCTTTCTCCTGCGAAAAATCAGAAACCCTAAGATCTGAATCGCCAAAGCCAAATGAAGAGAACTGGTGGCGAGTCTTGTATTTATAGCCAGGGAAACCGACTTCCAAGAAGCACACCGTTTCGTGATGTATACGCGGCCACGCGTATTGCCGATTTTACTATATTACCCCCACAAGTCACCAAAATATCAAATTTAAATTTCCAAACAAATATTTGAAGTTACTATATTCTTATTCTGTTATTGTTTTTATTGTTATTATTTGAAGTTAGGATTTTTTAGATAAAGAAACTGTAATCTTCACTGTACGATACTTTTTTATGGCTAGGATTTATTTTAAAATAAAATAAAAATATTAATATAAAGTCATTATGTTATATTTTGATTTAATTTTAAATTAAGAATAAATATTATTTTAAATAAGAATATATTTATCTTAATTAACAATTTGTTCAAATATTTAAGTTCTAAAATTAATGTAGCAATCTATTATTTACTATTTATTATATATATATATATATATATAATTTAAATCATGTCACATAAAGGCTTGTGAAATATTTAATTTTTAAAGTATTTGTTGTTTATTTTTTATTAAAATATATAAAATCATATTTTATATGCTATATATTTATTAATTTTATTAAATTTATTTATTTTTAATGTTATTTAATCATACCAGTATTTTTGTTTACCTTAAAAAAGTAAATTATTTTGATCATAATATATTTTAAAATTATATTAAATAAATTAAATTTTAAAATAAATAAAATTATAAATTCTATATTATTAAATATATGTTTTATAATCATTTTAAACATAACCTGTTTATAAAATGACTTGTTAAAGTCTTAATAGGAAATAAAGTATTAAAAAATTTAATAAATCAAGTTAGATTTAAAAAATATCAAATTAAATTTAATAAAAAAATTATAATAAATCAAACTTAAATTTAAAAATTATTAAATAAATTAAATTTACTTATTTAAACTTAACTTAATCTTACATATTCTTATCTCTAGTTATAAGTATACTAAGTTAATAAAGTTAATTGCTGTAAAATGTTAAGATATTATTTTCACTTTCACGTCTTTTTCTCCATTATGCAAGTCTATCACCTCACCTTCTAAATGCTAATGAAAAGTTTTACTTGTACAAGAATGAAAAGTTTAATTTGGACAAAAATGTTTTAATTTCATGTTTTAAGATTGAAGTTTCAGTTAGTAGAAGAGAGAAGAGACCTTACAACATCAATGAAGAGATGCCTTTACTAATTTTGAGGATGGAAGATTTGAAGTTAACATTTTGTGAATGTTGTGAAGACTCGAGTCATGGATTAGATTATTGTATTAAATAGTATAAATCAAACAACAAACGCTTAAAGAGGTTTTTTTAAAATAAAACAAATTGGAAATTAATTTTTTAAAATACAGTGATATAAAAACATATTCTTTGCTTGGAGTTATTTTTGTTGCATCACTTTGAGTATTATATTTATAGGTTACGATATTTTTTTTAATATATTAAAAAATAAATATCAATTCTTTAAGAGGTAGTGCCTTTTAAAAATAAATATCATTTCTATGATGGGTAGTGTTGATTTAACATTAAAAAAAAAAGAAGAAAAGAGAGAAATAATGGCTAGTAAATAAGATGTTATGGATATAACATCATAGAGTGTATAATCTATACCATCATAATATGTACAATGAAACATATGTTAACAAAAAAGATGTTATAAACAAAACAAAACGACAAGACTTATTCACATTTTCTTTAACAATATAATAAATTTATTTATTAGAGTCTCGCCTGTTATAAAATAAATGTACAATTATAAAGAAGAATAGAGAAAAGAATATAGAAAGGAAGAAAGAATCTCAATTTCATTTCACATATTCTCAATACAAATGAAACACTTATTTATAGGCCTAAATTTATAACCGAAGAATTGTATCTCTTTTAATGAGAATTAAACAAAACGGTTACAAAATCATAAGTTACAAAGAATAAGAAGGAGTTATGAATATAGACATTCACTCATATAAAAATTCATAACACTCCCCTTAAATGTCCATTATTTGAGAATATGTTTCATAACATCTACCTAGGAAAAATCCAATTGGATAACAACCTAAGAAAAATATATTATTATTTAATACATTATTACATGTTGTCTCATTAAAAACCTTGCCAGAAAAACCCAATGGGAAAAATTATAGCTAAGGAAAAAAGAGTGCAAAACATATTTAATTCTCCCCCTTATGTGGACAATCATTTCAAAGATGATGAAGTCCAATCTTGTGAACTAGTTGTTCATAAGTTTTACTTGGAAGTGACTTTGTGAAAATATCTGCTAGATTTTCACATGAACAAACTTGTTGAATATTTATATCACCATTCTTTTGTAAATCATGGGTAAAAAAGAATTTTGGAGAAATATGCTTTGTTCTATCTCCTTTAATATACCCTTCTTTCAATTGAGTAATACACGCAGCATTATCTCACATATAATTGTTGGGATTATTTTTCCTGAAAATAAACTACAAGTTTCTTGCACATGTTGAATCATAGATCTTAACACACATTCTCGATTTGTCTCATGTAATGCTAAAATTTCTGCATGATTGGATGATGTAGCCGTTATAGTTTGTTTCATAAATTGCCATAAAATGGTTGTACCACTACATGTAAATAAATAACTTGTTTATGATCTATCATTATGTGGTCGAACAAAAAACTTGTGTCTTGCTAATAAGTTAACAACAAATAATATATCAGGTCGTGTATGAGAAGTAAGATATAGTAGTGCTCCAATTGCACTAAGATAAGGTACTTCAGGACCTAGTAGTTCTTCATCCTGCTCCAAGGTTTAAAAAGATCTTTGTTTACATCTAGTGACCTTACAACCATTGGAGTACACAAGGGATGTGATTTATCCATATAAAATTGTTTTAACACTTTTGAGGTATAAGTTTCTTGATGCATAAAAATTCTATTCTTTACATATTCAAGTTGTAATCGAAGACAAAACTTTGTCCTTCCAAGATCCTTCATTTCAAATTCTTTCTTTAAGCAATTTACTATTTTTAAAATCTCTTCAGGAGTTCCAATGATATTTAAATCATCAACATAAACAATAATTATTACAAATTCATTATAAGATCTTTTTATAAAAATGAATGGACAAATAGAGTCATTGTTATATCCTTCCTTCAACAAATATTCGCTAAGGTGATTATACCACATGCGTCCAAATTGTTTTAATCCATAAAGTGATTTATTCAAATTGATTGAATAACCTTCTCTAGAATTTGAATTGTATGCATCTGATAAATTAAAACCTTCAGGGAGTTCATATAAATGTCATTATCAAGTGAGCCATACAAATAGGCTGTAATAACATCTATTAATCACAAATCAAGTCCTTCATTTGCTGCTAAACTGACCAAGTATCGAAAAGTATTTACATCTACTACAGGTGAATGTGTTTGTTCAAAATTAATACCAGGTCTTTGCGAAAAAAACCTTACGCAACAAGTCGTGCTTTATATCTCACAGTTTCACCTTTCATTTTGTTTTCGCACAAAAACCCATTTATATCCTACTAGTTTTACATCTTTAGGTGTACGAACTATAGGTCCAAAAACTTAACACTTTGTAAGCAACTTTAATTCTTTCTCAATTGTAGCTTTCCATTTTTTCCAGTCACTTCTTTGTCTACACTCGTTGACTGATTTTGGTTCATGATCCTCTATATCAGTTATCACATCCAATGCTACATTAAATGAAAAATATCATCAACATTGACTTCATTTTGGTTCCATTGTATTCTATTCATGACACAATTTATTGAGATCTCTTTATTTTCATTATTTTTAGGTACCTATGTTTCTTTGGAAACTAAACTATTAATTATGTCTAATGACTCTTTTGGAGTATTTACATCCTTATTTTGGTCGCCTTGATTCTTAGTTCCTTTTCTTTTTCAAAGATTTTATCTTTGGAACCAAAAAGTCTACCACGCTTCATACATAATTTAGATTGATTTGCAACATTAGATTGTCCAATCGAAACATTGATTTTGATTGGAGCATTAGCAGCTGACATATATGATTTAGTCACTGTTTTTGAATTCGTAAACACATTTGGTAGTTGGTTGGTGATGACTCATATTTTGTATTCACATTATAGCCTTATTGCATCTTCCAAAATATCTTTCCTTCTTTATTTATTTCATTTAGCATATTTTTTCATTTCTTGCATTAAATTGGAGTTTTCATAAATACTTGTTATTTTTATCTTATATTTCATAGTTTTGCTATTCTGACCTTTGTCCATTATTTCAACCATAACTTTTTCTGTAGATAATCTTTTTCGCTGATTCTTTTTGCAATGGATTCCTCATTTCTTGGGCTTCAATTTGGACATATGGATCATGTTGTTTGGAGCTCAGACCTATTTTTTATTAATTTTTGAAGATCAGACTTAAAACATACCTTTTATATTTAGGGTTTTTATTTAGGGCTTTTTTTTTTTACTTGCGGTGGCCTTGGCCTATTTATTTTTGTTTTCATTTAAGACTAGTATATATAGGGGTCAAAAGGTTGATTTTGGACCCTTCTTCTTATCCTTTTAATAATTTTGTTTTTCTGTAAAGACACTTTCCCATTTTTTAGAGTAAATTTGTTTCGTTCCATTCGCTTGTGTCTCTTCAGATCCTGTTGTGTTCTTAATTATTTGGTGTCATGAATCATCTCGTCTCAAGCGTGGATTGCTAAATCAATTGAGCGCTCTGAGTTTGTCTTTTACCTTCTTACAATTCTTATTAAGATTTGTGCATGCATAATTTGGTTGAATTTAGTTTTTGTTCTTAAATGTAATATCGATCAGTTGTTTTCTATTGCATTTGAGTTTTGGATAAATTCGGTATAAT